ATATAGTATATATATATATATATATTTATGTATATATATATATATATATATATATATATATATATATATATATATATATATATATATATATATATGTGTGTGTGTGTGTGTGTGTGTATATATATGACTGGTTATATATATATATATATATATATATATATATATATAAAAAATATCAATACATATTAATTCGGCATTTAATCTCGTTTGAAGTAGTCCCCTTCTGAAATACTTTTAGCGTCATTTCATTTCATGTAAGCGTTCCTATAAATCCTTTTTGGGGGATAGCGAGAAGCTGTCTTGTCGCATTCTTTAAGATATTCTCGACTTCTTGTTCATTTAAACTGGAATTTGAAATTCAGAAAAAGGAAACGGTCGCAGAGAGCCAGATTTCGTTCTCAGACCTGGGAAATGTTGCGCATGCCCAGAAGCAGCTGCCCAACCATTTTCACCAATTGGACCTCTTTTATGTGGAGAGACAACCACACTCTACGCACTTTCATTCTAAGTACTTTTATAAACAATTGAAGTGTGCGAGAACATTATAACTGTGTGTATGCGCCACAGTGTCCAAGGTCAATTTATGCTAAGCAGCTTCAATTTGAATAATTTAACTCCATTACCATATCAACAATCTCGATAATTTTTGTTCACACTATTGACCGAAAAGCTAGTGTTCGTGTCAATTGAAATTTGTAAAATATTTATCTTGAAACAATTATTAATAAAAATACGTTTCCCTGTATTGACGGAATTTTCCTTCCTAAATTTTTGCTTGAGGTAGTGTGGAACGTCAACATCTTCATTATGTCGTCTTTATTTTTCATCGAGTTAACTATTTAAGTTTTTGATGTTGAAGTCCCCAAGAGATGCTTTTTTTCTATGATATGCTAAAGTTTTTTTTTGCGAGTATGTAGTGCCAGTCTCCGATTTTCTAAAATGGATTATTCTTACCCATGTCCCACGTGATTCATTCAATTGAAATCCTTCGTAAATGTTTGACATCCATTGTATTACGGAATATTAGAACATGCGTAAATTTTAAAATCAAAATAATACAAGAGAAAGGGGATGAAATTTATCGATTTCCCCTGATCAATCTAATAACGGTTTCAAAAATTTATAAGCCGATAATTCATGCTAATTCAAAAAGCTGATTTGCATTTTATGTTTGCTACTGCGCATGTCCGTTGTGACATCTTTGACAAGCGAAGTTTTGCAGAGCATGATTGCGAAATGAAACAGTTTCTTTAAATTTAACCCTCCACCATCCACTGTGTGTCTTTTATTCAAGCAACTCATGCTACCAACCTTTCTTTCTCTCTTTCTCTTTTCCCCTCATTCTCTAAGATTTTAAACTTAATACGACTTCATGGATTTGTCTTCACTTTTTTCCATTAGTCAAACGCGGACTTTTACAGATAAACTTTCTCAAAGATCTGCCCTTTTTTTTTATTTGTTTAAGATCAAAAAGCTATTGCTGATACTCAGAAATATGTATCAACTCGACAAAAAGCTAGGCAATCCAGCTCTGTTTTCTTTTTCTTTCACTTTTTCTCTTAATTGGTGAGCCTTTTTTTCAATAAAATAATTATTATCACCCCGCCAAATTCTTGCTATTCAAATATATTTATTGGCTTTAAATAACCTGCAAATGTAAAAAAACAATTCTATACAACCCAAATTTGCAAGAAAAAACGATATGAAATATACAAAAACGATATATATATATATATATATATATATATATATATATATATATATATATATATATATATATAAAACGTCGTTCACTGAAAAGTTAAATGATCGGATACGACACAGACACACACATGCGCTTTCACATGTACATATATATATATATATAATTACTATCTGTTTATAAAGTTAAGTATTTTGGCTAAAGCGTGAATTATATCTATATATATATCTGTGTGTGTGTGTATGTATATGCATGTATTGCTTAAAAGTATGATATATATATATATATATATATATATATATATATATATATATGGGTATTTAGGCAATAGGTACTTTTTTAAGCATGTCTGATTGATTAAATTAAAAACATGAAGTTTGTTTATTTTCTAACATAATCCTTTCATATTTACTAATATTTTTCCATGTTACAATCAAATGAAGCAAGAAATGCACTGTAACAGTGAAAATTACTTTTATTTTCCATGTACTTTCCATCTCTTTCTGAGATCATCATCAAGGGTGCAACTAGTAAGGCAAAAGCTATGTGTAGCAATCCATTATTGATTTTTCCTTGCATTTAAATGCAACGGCTGATAGTTACGCATTAGTGTTCACTGGAACGCGAAAATTTATCCATTATGGACTTTTCTTTTTTTTTATGTTAGAATGTCATGGAGGAGCGTGCATTAAAGCCTGAAAACTTTTCTTTTTATAGGCATTTTAGAACTTTATTACAGTATTCGAGGCTGATTTTATTCAGTGTTAGCTTCACTTTTTTTAATGTAGATTACTTCGAGTATCTGTAGCTTTAATTTGTTATTTTCTTGTTCCATGATAGTTGTGTTATCAATCAGAGTTTTTCTATACTGTGAATGTGGACAGGAATGATAGTGTAAATGTCTTGCAATGGACGAATTGTAAGATATGTGTACGACTTCTTGACAATGCAGTTGTAACATACACACACACACACACACACACACACACATATATATATATATATATATATATATATATATATATATATATATATATATATATATGTTGTCGGAATACATTCTCAAAGGGTCATTTGAATTGATATGTAATGTTAGTTTTACGTAATACATCAGTTTGTGCGGAAGAGTTATTGCGAATATTTAAATTTGTTGTATTGTAATTTTTATGATTAACTTTATTTTTATAGGGATTCATGGGAAATATATTGGTACAAATAAATTTTTTTTATGGTTTTCGCATCCTGTTTGTAGTTACCATGCATCTGGTTACAATATGAGAATTTCATATATTTATGTTACTTTGATGAAATACCATTTTCTAGTTCTCGTATGTTGCGGTTTTTTGATAAATCGTCGTATTTGTTCATCTTCAATGTGGTTAGGAAAGTCATTATTAATGAAGATCTACTTAATATTTTTTGTACAGTGAAGAAAATTTTTTTGGGGAGGAATTTGTGCTCGGTTAATTAAATTCTGTACAAGTGTTGTTTTTTTTGTAGTAATTAGAACATTCACTTATAGCTGAGAGTGTAAAATTTTTTGCTAGTTGATTTTTATATGAGGAGATAATACATGTGCTATTATTAGTGTCTATTAAAATGTAAAGGAACTGGATTTTTTATGTTTGTTAAGTTCATATGTGAATTTGAGGACGGGGTTTTTATGATGAACTATGAAGCGGTGGAAAGCAATAGGAAAATAAAATTGATTTTCACTTTTACAATTCAATTCTTGCCTCATTTGATTGTAATATACGGAAAAATATTCGTAAATATGAAAGGATTATGTTAAAATCAACAGGCATAATCTTTGCAATTTATTCAATCAGACACACACACACACACACACATATATATATATATATATATATATATATATATATATATACACATAAACATGCATATATATATATATATATATATATATATATATATATATATATATATACATACATTATATATATATACATATATATATATATATATATATATATATATATATATATATATATATATATCAATTTAGAGCTCTTGATGCCATTTGTTTTAAGAATCACAGAAAAACCTTTTGAATTATTTAGCTAGAAAGAGAAGAGGTTAAATCATTTTGTGTCTGTCCCACTATGTCTCCCCAATTGAACAATGTTAGAGCAAAAAGATCGTCCAGGCCTTCAGTAATGTGACAAAATACATACTGTTGCTTCCATCTTCACAGTCCAGAGAACTGTGAAAATTTTTAAAACGAGGGAACAGTAGAGAGAGAAAAACTGGATCAGGTGGTCACAACAGCAAGAGGGATCATCATTCCAATTTAGAGCTAAATACATACTTATTTTTTGAAGTAGAGTCCATTAGTGTTATAAAAACCTCGGACAATTCCACTAAAATGGCTTTAATCATTTCTAATATAAAGCAGTTCGAACTTTATCTAGCAATTGGACAACTTTGCTGTTACACGATTTGGACAATTTTGCTGTTACATCCGGTCTATATATGTATAAGTAGGTACGTATGTATTTATCGCACGGAGTATGTAAAATCATTTTGTCTGTAAATTTTGTGATGCTAGAATTATCACCCTTCTTTTGACGACGCTATGTAGCAGTTCCTCTTTTTATTACAATGCCAGGCTTTTAATAAATCTTTCTTTTTTTTTTTATTTAGGGAGTTAAACAGACAAAGTTCATAAAAGAACTAATCATTAGAAAACATCTTTAAAATCCCTCGTGCGAACGCTTTCTAATATTAGATAAACTTTCGCGAAATATCATATTCCGATAACCTGCTATTTCCGTTGAAATGTGCAAACTAGTATTAATGTTAACCAACTCGCAAAAAATATATCGATCATTGTTAAAATCAGTTTTTCTTTCGGGATCTTACACGTTAACCTTCACAAGTCATCACTAGATAGCGACCCTGTAAAAAAAACAAAACAAAAATAAAACAGGACTATTAAACAGCTTTGTCGCATTACACTTTCACCGTGTCTGATATAGATAAATATAAAATCTCTCAATAACTGCTTCCACTAACTTAATCATACTTTTATGTACAGTTTTCGAGCATCAAATATAATTTCCTATTTACCTATGTTCTCAAAAGACCACTGGCGACTTTAATTTAAATATTTTCCTGTTGCTTCCTGGTGGGAAATCAAGTAAGTAATATTGGTTTACCTAAGGGTAGTTTCCACTGTCAATCATCTTTGTATATATGTAAAGAGGCACGTTCCCAAATTAACTGACAGTAGTAAAATGCATAGGAAAAAAAAATGGCTTCAAGACCAGGCTAGATTTACGGCCAGATCACGTTGAAACATTGGTTCCCGTTCGATCACCGAATTTAAACAACGTCGGGCCTAGTCACTACCTAAATCGGTGACCGCTTAGGAACTCCAGGGGCTGTATTCTTGAATATGCGTTTATTCTAATGGATGAGTGATCGGAATTTTTAATCTCATAGCCATGTTCTAATTCCTATTGGGTTCGTTATATTCACTTACACGCAAATACACTTGGAAAAGTTATTAATCAATCTCTTAATTCCGCAGCTATGTGTTACGTAATAAGACTTGTATAACTAAACTGTTCTTTCTAAAGAAAGTAATTCTTAACCTATCAAAAAGATATATCTTTAAATAACTCGCAAGGTGTTGGTAAACCGTGGAAAAGAATCAATCACAGATAAATCTGTGTATATATATATATATATATATATATATATATATATATATATATATATAGGGCGGTAAATGTCGTTTAATACTGTTTATGATAAAACAGAGCATTTACTTAAATATTCGTATCTATAAAAAGAATGTTAAAAACAAAATGTCTTAAAATAAATGTCGGACTTTGTCCATTTAATAATGTGTGACGTCATTTGTTTACATTTGATACGCCATGAGCAGATATGAATATGAATGTACGTGAGAGATCCATGGAAGATTGAAGTTTAAATACAGTAAATTCGTCCTTGCAAACCGAACTCTCCTTCGTGGCCAAATCGGTAAAGGCATGTCAAGCTAAATGATGGTTCCGTATAGGATACAGGTTCGAATCCTGTCGGAGAACGAATATTTTCTGTTAAAAATAAAATGTCTTAATTATCGGACTTTGTCCATTTAATAATGTGTGACGTCATTTGTTTTCATTTGATACGAATATGAATGTATGTGAGAGATCCATGGATGATTGAAGTTTAAATGCAGTAAATTCGACCTTGCTAACCGAACGCTCCTTCGGGGCCAAATCGGTAAAGGCATGTCAAGCTAAATGATGGTTCCGTATAGGATACAGGTTCGAATCCTGTCGGAGAACGAATATTTTCTGTGAAAATTTCTCGGACATTCAGGCCGGTCAATGTTATTTAATACTGTTTATTATAAACAGAGCATTTACTTAAATATTTGTATCTATAAAATCAATTATCAATAAAATCCTTTCGTAATCACGTTATAGCTTTCTTGCTTCATGATTAAACACAGTAAGTAATTTGGTTATATTTATTCATTTTTATCTTAGTAACTTTTATATGGCTAACATGGAAAATATTATAATTAATATTAAAAAAACTCCATCTAACTAAGATATATTGATTATATATTGATTATATATTGATTATATCCTCATCTTATTGAGAAATATTGATGAAATACACGAACTTCAAAACGAATTAAAAAAAGTTATATCCTTAAATTTACATATGAACGTAACAATGAAACCAAAATTCCTTTCCTTGATATATTGATAGATACCAATAATAATACATTCCCCTCCTCGCCATATAAAAAAAAAGCTTACTTGCATCAACTAGCGCGCTCTTCATTATAAGAGCGAATGTCCTGACTACTACAAAATTAACATTATACAAGTTCATTACCTTCATTTTCACACAAATACCCTTCAAAAAGGTATGATTTTATATTTTCTCCTTCCTTCCAGGCATGGGTTAAACATCAATGTTAGGAGGGAATCTATATAGGAATAGGTGATTTCTGAATTCTACACTTGAAGCTGTACAAAGATGATTAAGGCATAAGGTGCAATTCTCTATAAGTAAAAAAAACAACAAAAAACAGACGATAGATTTTAACAACTATGGCAAGTATCCAGAATACTTTTAGCACCCATGGAGAAAGGCCCCGAGGAACGATTTGAAACCAGTATTATTTGTGCGTGGTATAAGAAAACAGTCTGAACTGGAATTTGAATTCAACCCACTAACATTTTTTAGCATAATAAATGTAGGTCAACTTATTCCGACCTCTATATAAGAGAAATGCAGATGCATTTGACAAAATAATAGAAACATATATTTATAATCTTATATTTTTCTAATAGCAATATAAAATCTTTAAAACTGTTCTAATCTGTATTATGCAATATCTTCTATTTCATGATATAATCCCCATTTTTTTTCTTTAGATATTTATAATTATATAAGTTAAAATATATGGCATATCAGATTTCCAAAGAAGAGAAAATTCTAAAATTGTTAAAAAAAATTCTAAAATTGTTAATACTTGAAGTAGTAAAATATCTAAAATCATTATCTACCTATATTTCTGATATGAGGTATTATGTACACTATTTATATTATTCGGACTATTGTCCTTATCTTTGTCGCCATATTTGTTACAACTTTTCGGCCGTTGTACGCTCCGGCTTTCTTCAGATTGTGGCACCATGCATGATTGGAAAACTGAAAGGAGATATTCATAAATATATGATTTATTTTTTTCGGTTTGTTAACCATTTGATAGTTATTTAGAGATGAAAAATATTTCGGAGTTGAGAATAATTCTCTAATTGCGTTTAGACGATCTGGAAGAAAGAAAGAATGGAAGAGAAAGAGGAAAAAAAAAAAGAAAAATAAATAATACGAAACCAGGTCATAAGCGAACACACACACGCTCGACTGGCACATATCAGATGTCAAAAATATTAGGTCAAGCCCGCGACCTACTTTTCGGTGTCCACGAAAGATGGGAGTTGTTATCAATTTGGCTGAAGAAATAAAATTTTAGGGACAATGAAAAAAAATATTGATAAGTAACAAATGAAAAGGATGTCATTGAGATGATAGGTAACAGATGGGAAGTGTATCTAAGGATATGAAAACAAAGCATTAATACAAGAACCCAGACGATTCCAGAATTGAAAGGAGGGCCACACAAGGTGATGTAGAAAATACTTTTTGAGATAATTAAGATTTTTGTTAACAAGCTCCGAGCGAAAGAAAAAGGTGAAATATTTGTATTAGCTCGCGAGAACGCCACGCAGTCTAAGAAATTCCTTTCTTAGATCGTATCCAATTAGCGGTAGGCTGTTTTGACAGATACCACGTGTAAAAGAAACCGATAGCGTCATTCGATTTCGTACGGAAAAGGACAATTTAAATTTTGTTTTTTTTTAGCAAGGTGTTTCTTCCCCCAGAACAAAGCCACGGATTGTCCACGCCCGATTAGAGACGTCACGAAGGAAGGAGGAAAGATACCGACCAGAGTCTCATTGGCCGAGGGGCGGTCACGTGATGTGCGAGGGAGGAGGAAAGATGCCCGACCAGGACCCCATTGGTCGAGCGGTCACCTGACATACGAGGGACCAGGGGAAGCGGGTATACGCCTCCCCCCCAGAGGCACAGTAAGGAAGTAGGAGCGAAAGTAAGTTACCGATAATGGAAAATCCCTAATCAAAAATAATACGTCTTTAGAATTATCAAGAAAACCCTGGCGTCGACAGACCCACCCCAGTTTTGACTGCCTCAATAAAGCAGGACCCCAATCGACAGAAATCAGTTGCAGTTGTGCCGCGGACGGCGAGGAGCGAGCGCGGGCGGCGGCGTTCATTCGCCCCCCCTTGCGGGCAAAGAGGCTGAGAAGAGAGGGGTTGCCCCTCGGACGGTTGGAGCCGCCGCGGACAGCGGGAAGCTTGAGCGCGGGCAGCAAGTTCATTCGCCCCTTGCGTGCAAGAGAAGCTGAAGAGAAAGTTGGGGTTGCGCCTCGGACGAAGTTGGAGTTGGAGTTGCAGCGCGGACGGCGGGCCCTGTTCATTAGTCTCCTTTGCGGCAAGAGAAGCCAGCGAAGCAGCCCGTTTGGCCTAAGTGGAGAAGTTGCAGTTGGGGTTGCGCCTCGGACGAAGTTGGAGTTGGAGTTGCAGCGCGGACGGCGGGCCCTGTTCATTAGTCCCCTTTGCGGCAAGAGAAGCCGAAGTGAAGCAGCCGTTTGGCCCCTGGTGGAGAAGATGGAATCAAACCAAGCCGAAGAAGAGAAATTCGTCCAACCCAAGTCGAAGTGAAGAAATTCGCCCAACTCAAGCCGAAGTGAATAAGCTCGTCCAACCGAAGCCGAAGAGAAGAAGTTAGTTCGCGCACTGACGGCAGAGATGAGTGAACAATAGTTCAGACTCTGAGGAGAGAGTTAGTTACAGCCACGGACGACGAGAGAAATCAGCCGTGAACGACAGGTAGAGATCAGCGCCCAGTGTCGAAACCAAACCATAACCCGAAATGCAAATTTCTAAAGAGCAGGCAACTCGAAGCCTTAAAGTTGTATGGTAGAAGCTTGGTGCCACAGTCCACAAAACGGGTCGGGAGGTAGGAATAATCTTGTGTAACGAACATTTAGATATAAAAAGTTGTTACCTTTTTCTTCAATAATTTTTGACCTTGTGAGTTTTTCTTTTTCTTGTGTGTTATCACCACCGTTGGACTCAGCTTGCATACGGCCCCAATCCCTGTTTGATCCCGTCTGTCTAAGATCTAATCACAGCGTGGGTAGGCAGACCGGAGATCAGTGCAGTTACCCTAGTAACCAGGCGTTGGAAGCGAGTTGGGAACGACGAGGCTGGTATTCATCTAACCAATGGGTTAGAACGTCACACTTGGAGCAGCAAGGAGCGAACAGCTGACGCCGCGGCAAAGACGTCACAACTGGTGTCGTGACCATAGGATCAGAACCCTGGACCACGTCACGTCACAGTTGGCGCCGCGAATGAGATCAAACGACACAGTCGACGCTGCGACCAGGGGAGGACGACGTCACAGGTGGTTGGAATGTCGGACTGAAACCTTTAGATCGCTCACTGGGGTAGACTTTTCTAGTTCTCCGTGCCATGTTTTAATGGATGTCATTTATCAGTTATCTCCTGTTAATTCCCCCTCTCCAATGGCACAGTGAATAAAGGCGTTAGTTAGATCCAGCGATAGGACCCAAAGAGTGTCAGTCCAATACCCGGTTAAGGTAGTGGAAAAATTTAAGAGGGGAATTAACAGGAGATAACTAGCATCCTCTAGACATGGCACGTGAAACTAAAACAGTCTACCCCAGTGATTGAAAGAAAGGGTTCAGTTCGACATTCCAACCAACTGAAGAAGGCCAAAGCGTACAACGGCCGAAACGTTGTAAT